CAGGAAGGCAAAGATTTAGTTTCAGATAGGCATTGTTGAAGTGAGAGGCATGGCTTTAAAGCCCAGGAAGAGTGGATTCCATCCCCCTGCCTTGGGGGATGGGTCCTGTGAGTCCAGGAAGAGTTGCCCCACCCTGGACCTTCATGGGGTGGCAGCCCAGGGAGTTCTGATTGGGTTTGAGCCCATGGGGTTTCTCCCTTGCTGCGTTCCCATTAGACCCCCACCTTAAACACCACCCTGGTTCTGTCCCACAAAACCATCACCCTGCCTCTGTTCAGGGGTCTCTCTCTCTGGATCTAAGCTGGGTTGCTTCTTGTATTGAATAAATGGTTTCCTGAGCAGATGCTCATCTCCTTGAATCCCATGTCAGTCACTGGTAGCTGTAGCCTGCCTGGACATCATCCTTCATGCAACAATCATCCTTCAGGGAAGTGATTGACCAATTCAGCCAATAAACTCAAGTGGTTCCCTTCTGTTGCCACCATATATACATTTTTCTCCTGTTTTTTTTTCCTCTCTACTTAAAGGCCTTCCTCCATGAGCATGCACATGATCATTAAACATGTGCCTCCGCCCTTCTCCCTACCCTTCCAACTTCTCCAAAATTATGTAAAGACAGAACTAAAAGATGAAAGAAACCAAGAAGATAATTTCACAACAACAGCATTTCAGTCCTCACTCACTCCTTGAGAAAGGCAGATCCTGTAATTTCAAAGCCCCAGTCCTTGCTGAATGGTAATCACACAGCTTGCAAAAAGACAACCATGCCTTGATAGTTTAAATGGGTAAGTCTGCTGATGGTCAGGTACTCAAGCAAGAGGCAGATAGGTACCTTTTTGCCACAGCATTTTCACTTTTGGAACATGTATTCTCACAGATTCTTTTCAGATGCAAAAAAGCTTCATACAATCACTTTTTTCAATATCAGTGCCGAAATTTACTGTGTATGCACATTTTCTCTCAAGCAAGGTTCTCACTCATATACAACTTTCTTTTTATGGAACATAATAGACACAATTATTTCAATGAAGTACATACTTAAAGCTAAATAACACACAAATTCCATTCATCAAATATAATTATTGCTAGAACTATGGTGCCTGTTTTTAACAGCTTTAGAAGCTAAAAGGTTCCTGTTCAAAATTTGGATAGCATGCTCAACTGGAAATATAAGATTATATGTTATATGCAAAGCTGACATCAGTCAAAGCCAGGAACTCCAAAAAAGACAGAAGAGGGAAAATAACAGTGCCATAATAACAGTAAAGTTTAATGCAGATCAGAACACACTATGAACAGCTGCCAAAATGTTCAGTGACTTAATAAATCTGTCTGCTAAAAGCAAGCACATATTGGCAACACTGACCAGCACCAGAATTTCATCCAGCACACAAAAATAATTTTTATTCAGAAATCTGAAGACAGCACTGCCTGGTAGAGTGATTCTATTTCTTTGGGATATTTTAAGTGGTCTCAGAAGCTTCTTCATACTTTATAGCTACTATCAATGGTTTTATTCTACAGGCAAACTTTGGTAAAAAATTATTTTTCACAACATAAAAAAAATTAAAAAGCAAAATATTCTTAGGGGAAAAACAGTAAAAAGAAGCATGAAGGACGTGGGCTTATTTTGTTTTCAAAGGAATTTATGTGCCACATGAAAATACTCAAGTATATGCTGACACCACATTATCATACAAAGCAGCCCAGGACATACACCCCTCTAAATATGAATCAAGCATTGCTCCCTATGTAATTAAGCACAGGCAGGAACATGTTACAATGGAATCCTTTCTGCTAACACCAGTGAAAAGAATGAGTCACAGCACAAAGCAGCAGGGACAATGTTCTTACTCACCTAAAAGGAACCAGCAGTTTTCAGTTTTAATACCTATTTACCTATAACCTAAATTGAAACTAATCAACTACACTGCATGAGTAGATGACCCATAAAACTATTCACAAGAGACATTACTTTAATTTAGGAAATTGTTCTTTTTTCCACTCTATAAACACTGCTGTGGCAATTTTCATAGGAAAGTGCTGTGGGAAACAGTCACCTCTGCTTTGGGTCATTTGGTACAATTAATTGCCCTCTTGATGATATTTCCTTATGACCTTAATTCAGAGAGCCATTAACTGTCAAGAAACGTCAGTCCTGGTAATCATTATCACTACTGAAAACCATAAATATTCAAAATGTTAAAAATAATTATATTTTCTTAGCTCTTGGGAAAAATTATGTTCTCAATTTTCAGATCATGTGAAAGGATTTGGGCAGTTCTAGGTTCATTCCTAGCTCTGTCATATTTACCCTGACTTTTAACCTTCCCACTAGTTCAATGGTCACATTAACTATAATCATGATGAAGAGCTGAGTGAGAATTGTAGTACCTTGAACAATAGCAAACATTGAACATTATAAAAAACATACTATTTTAATTCATAGTCTTCACCATGAATTAAATCATAGTGATATGAATCACTTTCAACTAACAAGTTGAAAGCTTCCTAAAAGATCGGACTCCTAAATTTTAAGCGGATTTTTGAATTACACACGCAATCACTATATGTCAGTTTAGCCAGAAAAAAATCCCAACACACAAAACCCAAAGCGTACCAATCCAGACAGGTTCCCATGACGAGCAGGAATCATAAGTCATCTTGTGCTGTTTTGTTCAGCTAATTATTATTCTCTTCCCAAATAACCTGCCAAAAAAAAAAGTGATATATTTACATTCAAGACAGGACAAAAGCAGAATAGCAAGATTTTTCCTGTAATAAAACTTTATTTTTACTGGGAGAAGTAGAATATGCTGTGTGTCCTGACAGAAGGCAGAGTGGATGCCCCCTTTTCAGAAAGGACTAAGGCATCAAAGTTTCATCAAACCAAGAGATTCTCAGCTATGTCACCTATGGATCATAAGAATCTCACCATTTCATACTAGTGTCTGTCAGGGCTGGAATATCACGTGGTTTCAGGTCTCATTCAGCTATCCTTATTTCACTTGTAAACAAGCACACAGCAGCCAGCTGCCGTAAGTCTTACTGGATCTATTAAAATTAATTCTTACCCTTCATCCTAATATTTATATCCCTAAAGACATTCAAAACAATGACATTTAAATCTACTCCGAGCATCATAAAGAAGATAAATAATTTCTCCCCAAACAGTAAAGATAACAGCATTGGAAAAACAAAGGACAAGAAAACAGGTCTAGAGAGGAAGAATAAATCATTAAAGTTTCAATGCAGGATCTCAGCACTTCCTTTACATGTGCTTGCACCAATCAATCATCATTACACTACTAATATACCTCAAATAAAATCATTTCTGCAAACTGGACCTAACACAGCTAAAAAGCTGCATATTCTACCATGAGTTCATGACACAATCAGTTATCATCAGGTATCATCAGTTCTTAACTGAGAAAGCAAATTTTCAAGGTAGCTTCCCCTTATACTCTTAGAAGGAAGGCATACAATTTCAGTGAGCCTTGAAAATTGAGTTTATGTCACACTAATAGTTTTAAGTGACCTAATTAATTTATAAATATTGTTGTCGTATATACATATATGTATCAATCAAGAGGACAAATATATGAGACACTTTACATGCATGTTTTTGAAAGGCTACATAACTTTTAATTTCTGCAAGAATAAGCTTTAGGAACATCTCTAAGTCACCTCCACACTGGAACAAAAGATACCAGGATCCTTCAGGAACAGTTTTCTAAATAAATGATGCACACAGGGGCTGAAGGGCAAACCAACCAATGAGTTTACAATGGCCTTCAGCAAGGGAAGCAGTAACAACAAGCTGTGCTCTAAGACCACCCATAATGTACTGACCCCTCCAATCATTCAGTGCTGAGTTTCTATACCTGCAGCCAACTCAACACGGACTTCAAACACTCAAAACATATGGCTTGATTTGCCGGACTGGAGTCTGCTGAGACATCTGCCTTTTGCACAACACATTATCTAGCCACAAGGGAAGCCGGTGTCTGAAAGGTTTTTCTGATAATCTATTAATACAAACTGTTTTCCATGAGCACAAAAATTTGGTCTTTGCATTTATTCCACAGAACAAAGAGGGAAGGAAAACAGTTCTCAGGCATACCTATGTATAAAAGAAATAAAAAGTAGCCACTGGATTATTGTAGACTTTCTCAATTTGGTTTGCTCCCTCTTTAGTGAGGTAATATAAACAGGTAATCTTCCCTCTTCTGCTTTCTCAAGTGTCAAAGAAGTGAATAGGTTTGCAAGGAGGTAGAAAACTACCAGGAGCCTGGACAAGATTAAATACCTCAATAACCTGTAAGATCTTCCCACCAGACAAGCGCATCCTCTGACACAAGAGCCATTTCCAATCTCTACTTACATGATTATAGAAAATATTTCCAACTCTCACTAACATAAGAGTATCTTTAAAATCATAAGCATCTGAAAGAAACATCACAATGAACTAGGAAATTCCTTCACTTCAAGAGTCCAAGAAGGGAAAAAACAGAAGTACTTTTTCAGAATAAATCTGGAAAATTTTATTAAATTGGAGTACCTTGCAGAGCTTGCTGGGCAAGATTGCATTGGGTAGTTTTCTGTTGACACTTAGGGGTTAACTCTGTTTCATAATGAAATTCCATTTTTTCTACTCCATTATAAATGATTAGTCAGACTTTTTTCTAAGAACAGAAGGGAAAAGCTTTGTAACCCTTCATGAAATTTGAGTGCAAGGATTCCTGACCCTGTAAAGAGATCTACTTTTGGAATTACAACCTTGATGATATCAGTATTTACACCTAGCAGAGTTACTTAAAGGGCAGTCCTGACTTTTTCCTCCTTCATTCACTCATTCCTGAGCCCAGCTCCCCAGTCCCAAAGCAAAAGGAATAAACCGGACTAAAGCAGACCCTGGCCAGCAAATTTAAAAGCTTCACATTTCTGGCCTGAAGCTGAGAGATGCTGGGGAACACAGATCAAGGCTTAAGACATTGATTTAGCTTCCACATACTAAGAAGTATTTTAATTAAAGGCAGTCGGTCCTGTGCCACAAGCAAGAATGGTGCAAAAACTTACTGATGATCATAGAAAAATTTGCATCTTACTTTGATTCCCCAAACCAGTAGCTGTCGCTTCCAAAGAACTGAAATAGTGGAACTAAAATCACAAAGATCTTAAACATAATTAAAGGCGTTTCCCACAAGTATTCAGATTACATTAAAGACTTAGCAGGAGCCTAGAGAAGATCAGAAATATTATGGAATTGCTTTTCAAATGAGCTGTAGCTTTGTTACGTACTTTACTGACAATTCTCTACATCTCCTCATGCCTGGTCTCTAGCCATATTTTATCAATTTTTCCTAATATTTTCTTGGGATATAAAGTCAATCCACAGGCAACAATAAAGTGAAATACCAAAAGCTTGCTTCACAAAAGAGTCTGTCCATTAGAAGAAAACAAGGAAGGAAAAAAGTCTGCTTCAAGTCAGAAAGCTTTAAGAGAGTTGTCCTAAGGCTATTTTGGCACTTCAACTACAAAAACTTCTCCACTCTATTCTCTGAATGAAAGACTGAGCTCTGTGAAAATTTTCCACCTTCATATACATTAATGTAAATATCTAAAGGCTCCTTGCATTACATCATTCTTACTTACTCTGTTGTGCCCACATACAACATACACTATTGCACTGCCTTCTGCTAAAAACAGGGGAAGATGAATTTTTTGTCAGTAGTTTGGACAACAGCTGTTAGCACACTGTCTTCTTTTGTGAAGGCTTATAAAATTCAGCTTATAAAAACAGTAATGCCAGCAGCGGCACTCTACACTGGTGGAATTTAAGCTGTCTCCCACAGAAATATACCTGTTTCTTGAAACAAAATTTATTTTAACAAAAATTCATCTCTCTATAAAAAGATGTAGGGATGTTAATGAAAAAGTGATTAGAATGACCAGATGTGTACACTCTACACACAATGTGCTGCCCACAAGTCCCTGGGATTTGATTTAGCTCCCAGAGCAAAGTGATCAGCCCTGCTCCTGCTTTTCCCTCAGGGATTCAGGTTATGCTAGAGCCAAGTTCTGTGCCTGCCCAGGAGTCATGCTGCTGCAATACAGGTGTTACAGATTTCACTTCTTGGCATTTATTCACATGGAAGAGGTGCTGGTAGGAAGTTAAATGAGGTGACTACCTTTCACAGCATCCTGCTCTGAGAGTGCTCAAAGGCTGCAATGGTAATATTTACCTGAGAACTAAGCAAAGATTTATTTTATATGCCTATTTATATTATAACCTTTCTTCTCATACATATACACACATGTCCACATGCGCATTTATTTCCAATACTTATTATTATCTCTATTCAACCAAAGACAAACCTAAAATGCTTAATACAAAATAATCATCAGTTATAAGGTTCCTTGGATTTTTTTTTCCCCCAGATTTACCTTATACTTTGCTTCTAGTCTAAATTAGTCTATTAAAGATAAGCTACGTGTTACAATAGTAATTTATTTTTCCTAATACAGAAACAGGGAATGAACAAACTATCAAATTATTGATAGTTACCTGTGTCATCTAATTAATTTGATAGCTTCAGAATTATTTTTGGGTCATGTCAGACAACTGGAATAAAACTTTAAAAACAGCAACTATTACGGTGAGATGACGTATTACAGACATTCAGACCCTATGCAATACAGGCACTAACAACTTCTGTACAGATCCAACAAGCAGGGCTTGTAGTATGCATCCCAAAGAGGAAAAAAAAAAATCAATTAACATTTGCAAGCCAAAAACATTTAAATGAGCTAGTCTGATGATTTTAAAAGTACACTTTTCTTTCATGTAATACTAGAGATCAGTACTTCAATTTTTTTGGGTTTTTTTTAATTATAAAAATGCAAAGGAAACAAATATGTGCATCAACTGAAGAATTCAAATCCTTTTTAGGAACCATTTTTTAAAGTACCTTATTATTACTTCTTACAAATAAATTAACAGTTAATTGAAGGGATTTTGTACTGCTCATTAGTTCTGTGCTACTTTGGACCTTTTAAGCAAACAGAAGACCAAATCAAATGCCTTCCATAGATAGTTACAGCAGTTCTGAGTTCACAACCTGCAAAATTAGGAAAGGTTTCTTTCTATGGAAAAGCTCCTTCAGTAATAAGTTAGGGATTTTCACACTATTTTTAAAAAGTAGAGGAATTAAAAAATAAAAAACTGAAAAAACATCCCCAAAAAGAACAAACCAACCAACCAAAAAAATCCACTGAAAAATAAAAACATCCCTCAAACCTACAAAGAAAAGTATTACCTTACCAGAAAGGTGTAATCCATTATTTCCTGTTGTCTTCCACCTTGGTAGCTAAAGATACATTTCCCTACTCAACCAAAGGCTGTTTAAGTATGCTCAGCTAATGAATTTTGCAGTGTTTCTTCAGTTATGGAGATTATTCAGTCTCTACTTAGACATGAAATTGAACCTGAGAAAATACTGTATGGAATTTATCATCCTGCACCCAGAATAACTCTAAACAGCGTAAGTGTAACATAAAACTTCTAATTCAATTACAACTACTCGTAATAGCTGAAAAATTCAGACCAAGAGATTCATATCAACCTTCTAAAACACTGAAACACACCAAAGTTAGAAACAACTCAAAGTTATGGGCATGATTTATAGGAAAACAAGTGCAATGACATC